CACATTTAAGCATTCAGATTTACTGCTCACAAAGAATATTGAATGCTTGTTTCACTGGGAAATTTCTATCCAAGGCAATTACCTGTGAGAAGATGTAATATAAATAAAAGCTAATAACTTAGATACTTTGTGGATACAAAAACTAATAATTATTACGAAGCAATAAAGACAAGCACAAGAAGCCACATTGCTAGACTAAGGAAGCAACTCATACGTAGTATGAGTGGAATGAAATACCATATGTAGTTCTTAGAAGAAGGAAAAATATATCAGAAAGAATATAAATCAACATCAGATTTCCCAAAGGTTTAGTTATTCTAAATTCACTACATAAATAATTCAATTAGAGAAGTAAATCCAAAAAATGAGACAAAAGATTCCCGCATACTCTTATACTAACAAAATTAAATTCAATTTCACAATCTATAAGTCATTCAGCATAAAAGTTAACTTTTCTTAAGTTCAATATAATGTCACAATCTACAAACATCGCATAAAAATTTGTGATTGAAAAATAATACGCGACTAATTAATTTGATAATTATTTGTAACCTATAAACAAGTTGTGACATATACAATTTGTTATTTGTGACTGTGACGTTATGTAATTATGACTAATACGTAACGTGACTATAGTCTGTATAATATTATGATATTAATATATTTAGTTAATAAATTATTTTTAATTATCTATTTAATTAAAAAATTAATTGATTAATATTTGAAATTTTAAAACATATTTCTTATTTTTGAAATTGTATATTTTAAACACCTTAAATATGTATTATTCATAAAGGAAAATAGCCTTTCCAAAAAAATAGACTATGCAGCTAATGACAGAAACAACACTACTACGTTAAAGAATATGGCATTTTTAATGCAGCAACAACATTGTTTAGACCTCCACTGAGGCACGTACCCGACTCAAAGTATCCGAGTGGATAAGCTAGACATCTAATAAATATGGATTCATCAGTATTCGACAATATTAAATAATTTATAATACATTATATATAATATAATCCCAAAGGTTATTGATCTAGTTGTGTGACATCGATCATGTATTAGAGAAGATCGAGTCTTGCACAATGACATCGATCAGACGTCCCAAGAAATCGTAGGACGAACCACCCTCAATCAAAGTTTTATGGCTCTTTTCTTTCATTTCCTTCACTTTCTTTCTAATTTCATTCCCATTCATAAGCTGTCTAATTCCCCTTTCTATTTCTTCACTACTTACAATGATTTTTCTGTCCATGTTTATATCAACTGCCAACCCCAATTCTACTACCATCTCAAATGCATTCATATGCTGCTCGGCATATATAGGCCATCCTGCTATGGGCACCCCGAACCATACGCTCTCCAATATAGAATTCCAGCCGCAATGTGACACGAACCCACCGATGGCCGGGTGGGACAGCACAGCCACTTGAGGTGTCCACCCGGTTACTTTTCCGACACCACAAGTTCTTTCTAGAAAACCTGTTTAAGATAAAATTTAAAAAGGCAACAGTTTTGGACCTTAAATGAACTAGCTATACATGCGAATGAGTGTTTTGGGGGTAAAGTTTATTTTGATCAAAAGTGGTGTCTAAATATTTCAGTCTGCACTTAATAGAAGGGGCACTTTCAAAAATGTCTACTTCTTTTTAGTGTCAATTGAAAAATGTCGATCATTTTGAATTTTATATCAAATTGCCCATTATGCCCTTA